CCCCCCCCCCCACGACGGATCGATGGTCGTCGAGCACCTTAGTTCGTGATTCTCTTAGATTCGGATCAATACCTACTTTAGCATTGCAATAAAATGGTTGGACAGCGCGTTATGATAGCCCGCGCCGTCTCTCTCCCTCTTATTCTCTTATCGAGTACCTATCGAGAAAGCTATTTTGCAAGCACTAAATTTATTTGCGATTTCGCTCGGCGCGAGACGCGTATATCGTCGACGACGACGCGGAGGGAAAGCGCGTACGAAAATTAATCCGGTATTCTTGATCGCGTACAATAAATTCTCATTGGAATAATCGCGCTTTAATGCAATGTCCGTGTAATTGATTGTAGCGTCGCGAAGCGACGGCCCGTACTACCGGCCTCTGATTTCTTCATCTAGCGCTTTCGATAACGATGGTTAGAATAAATAGACCCGTCAATTTACATAGTCGTTAACGAGCATGCCTGGCAAACCCTTATCGGTTCCGTAGCTCCTAAACCTCCTGACCTAGCCAACGCGTTCTACGTTTACCCCTACATTCTCCTTTACCGTGCGCTCCAAACAACGCGCGATGGCTCCCCCGCAATACACTACTCTGAATCCTTATCCTCGGAACAGAGCGCTTATTAAAGATCGATCGAGAACCCAGCGACGTCCTTTATCCGCGTTATCGCATTGGATATAACTTGGAAATCCAGAAACGCTTGGCGCGCTCGCCACATACATAATTTATTTGCTCGGAAAACCGCAGCGTACGACGCCTTGTAGTAAAGCGACACGTACTTTTATCGCGACTTAAATTTGATTGATTCGATTGAATGGCAAATATTTATAGTCTGTTGTCACGGTGTGGTATTACGCTCCAAATTAAAATCTTGCTTCATAAAGACGAACTACGGTGGAAGAAAAATCGTAGCTTTATTTATACGCGTAATTATAAATTCTATCTTATATATACGCACGCGTCGGGAAAATATATACTTCTATAAAAGTTTCTTCGTGGAAGATTCGGATCACCGACGAAGAAAATGTTATCTTAAGCAATCAAACGGATCATTGTACCAGTCCTCTTCTTTTCCGAGAGCCAAAAGAGCTCGGGGCGGATCCACGGAACTATCCCTCGGTAAAGGCGGGCTGGTAACGACTATGCAAATTTCATTTGGCCCGGCCCAATTCTTCACACACGGAAGATTAAGACATTAGACTACGAGGGAGAGAAGGGGAGAGGGGAGGGGGAAGCATGTCCTAAACTGAAGAGTGAATATAGACGACGACGAGGGAGTAAAAGAGGACTCTTGCCATCGGGGAAGGTACGACGTTCCTCCTACAATCTCAATTATTTCATGTACTGCGCTATAAATCACCTGTGTGTGCGAACCTAAAACGGCGACGCTAATATTTAAGTTGCGCATGAAAATTTGGCCCCTCGCGTGCATCGTATAAAATAATTTCGGTAGGTAGTAGTTATCACGTTTAAGGTCTAACCGCGTACGAATATAGCCGTTGTTCGTGCAGCGAACGGCGAGAATATTTGTTGGTTTTGCACAAAAAAATGCGATAACATCGTATTTCTAAAATACAAATTACAGTAAACACTATTTGTTACTTAAAAAAAAAAGCGCACATGCTGCGCACGGGAAAGTTCAGTTGCATATTTTAATCTGTACACAAAGCTGGCCTACGTTGTAGTGATAACGGCGAAAAAGTTTCTTCCGTCGTTTCGAGCTGCGGCATATGCAAAACGTTTTGTATAACTGGTGATTATTCATTTCGTTTGTATACGACACCACTCACGAGTTCTTGAACCTTTGACAGAGAGTTTTAATTTTTACTTTTGGAAAACAATTT